AGATTGTTTGGAGCAAGGATATGGGGTTCTGTGAGACATTCAATATGCAATAAAGCCTATAAGTAAAGCAGTGTGACATAGATCCATAAAGAGCAGACAGATTAATAGAACAGAATATCCAGAAACAGATACACTTACGTTTAAAAGTTTACTATAACAGGAAAGTGGGATTTCAAATCATCAGGGGAAAAGAAACACTTTAAAAAACTGAATAACTGAGTGACCCTATGGAAAAAAAGAAGAAATTGGATTCTTTTTTCATGTATCATGTCAATTACAAAAGGATAAGAGATTTCAATGTAAAAAAAATGGAATCACATGTACAGTAAAAGAAAACACAGATGAAATTCCTATATAATTTGGCATAAATTTAAAATTCAGAAACAGAATAAAATTTGATATGTTTGAATAATAAAAACACCATAAAACGAAGTAATGACAAACTAGGAAAAGATATTTGCAACTTATATTGCAGAGAAAGCGTTTATATTCTTAATATCCAAAGAGCTTCTAATACTACAGAAGAAAATAACCTAGAGCCCTATGGAAAGATCAGAGTAATGTTTCATTCATAGAAAAATAAGTGCAAATGGTTCTACACCACATGAAAAGATGCTCATAGCTGCTGATATAAAAGAAATCCATATGAAAACTACATGAAGATTCCATTTTTAACCCACCAGATTGGCAAAGTCCTAGTTTTAACAGTGTACTCTTTTGGCCAGGCTATGGGGAGATAGGCACTCTTGTATATTGTTAGTAGCAATAATCTGATGAATCTGATGTATACCACCTCAAATCAGTGAGGAAAAGATAAAATAGAATCCACTTTTTTCAGACCAGATATCAGGAGTGGAATTCAGCAATGCCTAGAAAAATTGTACATGTCTTCATCCTTCTCCGCAGCAATTGGAATTACATGAATGTATCCCACAGTTACACTGACAGAAGTTCTAAGAAACTTAGATGGCTGGGCATGGATTTCCATAGACGGAAATGCTGGCTCACGCCAGTAAGTCCAGCATTTTGGGGGGACGAGGCGGTGGTCCACTTGAGCTCAGGAATTTGAGACCAGCCTGGGCAACATGGTGAAACTCCATCTCTACAAAAAATACAAACATTATCCAAGTGTGGTGGTGCATGCCTGTGGTCCCAGCTACTTGGGAGGCAGAGGTGGAAGGATGGCTTGAGCCCAGGAGATGGAGGTTGCAGTGAGCCAAGATCATGCTGCTGCACACCAGATTGGGTGACAGAGCCAGACCTTGTCTCAGAAAAAAAAAAAAAAAAAAAAAAAAAAGACATAGACAAAAGGCTGCTTATGCAGGACTCTGTAACAGCAAAAACTAGCAACTACCTAAACATCCATACATAAGGTTGACTATACTATGATATATCTCCACATTGGCATACCATGTAGCTACAAAAAAAGTAATGAGGAATATATCTATTGACGTCTACATGGTTATGTCCAGTATGTGTGTGAAATAACAATAATGCAAGATAGAGAAAAGTGGGTATACTGTGCTGCCATTTAGCTGAGAAGGGGAGATATGGTTCTACATACCTCTCTGTATTACACAAACCACAAATAATGGGAGGATAGCTTACCTATGGAAGGGATAGAATAGGGAGGACAAGGATAAAAGCTATACTTTTTTAAGAGCTTGTTTTTATAAATTTGATTTTAGCACCACAAAATTATTTTACACAATTATAAAGCAAATTTAAATTAAAATGGTCTTTAAAACTCAAAAATAAGATGAATCAAAGAAACTTTTAAATATATCCAGTTGGTTGCATAACCACACAGAAAGAAATATTCCAAGTGGCTTTAAAACACAGTAATTTGTATATCCCTAATGGAATATATTTTTAGATACAAAGTCTATTTGCAAAACAAAAAGCAAAACTTAAGTTCTTTACACTAATCATATTGTTGGAGGAGTGCTGGTATTTGCTATTCTAAATTGTTGTAGGTATGTTGTGGCTATAAAAACAGAGTCTGGGAATAATTACATGATTCTCCAATTCTATCAGTTTGTGTATTATTGAGAACTGGGATTCACTGTAAGAGGAAAAAAATACAGATGTAAGACTGAAAGGGTTAAATGAAAGCCTTATAATTATGAATTTGGATTAGAAGTATTAGCATAAACTCATGATATGTTACATTTCCTTTAAAAACACAGAAATACACATATTTCCTAGTTTTGTTGACTAAAATGTCCTAGGAAAATAACGATGAACTCAGAAGTGAGGAGGAGCTCTAGAGCTGAGATTGTGATCCTGAAATACTGTATTTTATTAAGAGAAACCAGAACCCCTGGGAGAAATGACTGAGCTTCTGCACAGCAAAAGAAACTATCATTAGAGTGAACAGGAAAGCTACAAAATGGAAGTAAATTTTTGCAATCTATTAATCTGACAAAGGGCTAATATCCAGAATCTATAAGGAAATTAAACAAATTTACAAGAAAAAACAAACAAGCCCATCAAAAAGTGGGCAAAGGATATGAACAGACACTTCTCAAAAAAAAATTTGTGCAACCAACAAACATGAAAAAAAATCATCATCACTTGTCATTAGAGAAATGCAAATCAAAACCACAATGAGATACCATCTTACACCAGTTAGAATGGCGATTCATTAAAAAATCAGAAAACAACAGATGCTGGAGAGGATATGGAGAAATAGGAATGCTTTTACACTATTGGTGGGACTGTAAATTAGTTCCACCATTGTGGAAGACAGTGTGGCGATTCCTCGAGGATCTAAAACCAGAAATACCATTTGACCCAGCAATCCCATTACCGGGTATATACCCAAAGGCTTATAAATCATTCTGCTATAAAGACATATGCACACGTATATTTATTGCAGCACTATTCACAGTAGCAAAGACTTGGAGCCAACCCAAATCCCCATCAATGATAGACTTCATACAGAAAATGTGACACATATACACTATGGAATACTATGCAGCCATAAAAAAGGCTGAGTTCATGTGCTTCGCAGGGACATGGATGAAGCTGGAAACCATCATCTCAGCAAACTAACACAGGAACAGAAAACCAAACATCACATGTTCTCACTCATAAGTAGTAATTGAACATGGGAACACATGGACACAGGGAGGGAAACATCTCACACTGGGGCCTGTCAGGAGGTGGGGCACTAGGGGAGGGATAGCATTAGGAGAAATACCTAATGTAGATGACAGATTGATGGGTATAGCAAACCAGCATGGCATGTGTATACGTATGTAACAAACCTGCACGTTCTGCACATGTACCCCAGAACTTAAACTATAATAATAATTTTTTTAAAAAGTCTACCTACCCTGTGTGACAGGCCACACAGAGACCACGTGGAAGGCAAAGCCAGGAGGAGGGGCGCTGAAGCCACCTGGTGGGAGAGAAGGCCCAGGCCTCACCAGCATCCCAGCTGAGCCTAACCTTCCAGCCATCCGCACCAAGGGCCCGACCTGGGGATGGACCAGCCTAGGCTTTCTAGCCCACCCAAACCCCAGACGATTTTTTCCCCAGCCAACATTATATGAAGCAGAGGAATAACTTAGTTAGAAAGACCCCGCCCAATAAAATGTTCAGTTTTTCTTTTGAGGGTAGTTTGTGATGCAGCAACAGAAAATCAAAATCACTGGGGTTTAATCATTCCTAAACCACAAACTCCCAGGCTCCTGTGTGAGTTGACCCACCATCTAGATTGCCCTCCTCCACTGCCCCTTGCCCACACTGGCCCTACTGCTACCCCCATGCCTTGACTGACAGCACTCCTTCCCCTAGTTTTGGGGGGCTCTTGTGTTCCTCCAAAGAAGCAGAAGAAAAACTAAAAAAGAGTAAAATAGCACAGGATGAAATTAGGAGCTCCAGTGATTAGACAAAAGGGAAAGATTAGAGGAGAGTGAGAAGGGTGAACAGGGGAAGTCTGCTCGGTGAATGTTAAGCAGTGAACCAACATATGGCACCTATTTCATGCATATTTATGCATATGGATTTATGGTAATGGTATGGCCCATATGGAGAAAGCTGTCCACCTGCCAATAGGTGTACTCATCCGAAATGGCCAGATGTCGCTACCTAAACCCGGGGAGCAGTTTTGGAGCCATGAAAAGCCAACTCAGGTAGAAGTACACTTGCAAAGAAAGCCGTTACAAATAAAATTTCAAATTACCTCTGATTTTATGTTAGAAATACAAAATAATGAGACCAGGAGGTCTTCCAGGAAACACTAAGTTATTTTGAAGACCAGATGCCTACAAGGGCATGAGCGAGCAGTTCTTAGGCCCTCATGAAATATTTTTCTACATTTTAATTTTGAAAATTTCAAGTACATACAAATGCAAAAAAAGAATATCATAATGTCCCCCTAGTCCCTGCCTCTGGGGGTCAGCAATTACCCAACCCACTTCCCCATTTTTCCATATTATTTTGAAGAAAATCCAGGACATTGTATAATTTTATTCAGAAATGTTTCAATATGTGTCTTTAGAACATGAGGATTGTTTTAACCTATTGTGCCTAAAAATTAACAATAATTATTTCATGTTGTCATACTGCCAGCCAGTGTTCCTATCTCTAATTGTCTCATAAATGTTATTCTCTCAATGATTTATTAGTTTATATCAATATCCAAATAAAGTCCATGTACTGTGATTGGATGATGTATTTCCTAAATCTCTTTTGCCTATAGATATTTTGCCTCCATCTCTTTTTGTTCCATGCAACTTATTTGTCAAAGAAATAGGTTGTTTGCCCACAGATAATTCACAATTTGGAGTTTCCTGATTATATCCCCAGGGTGTTGTTTTATATGCTTTTTTATCCTTCGTATTTTCATAAATTGGTATTTGGACCTAAAGTTCTGACTACATTGGGGTGTTTTTTCTCCCCTTCTTCCTCCTTCTCTTCTGCAAGACTGCTTGATCAGGAATGTGTGTTTTTCCATTAGGTTACCCATAATGCGTTTTTCTCTCTTTTAGTGATGACAGCAGCCACTGATGATCAGCACTTAGACCCACTAATTCATTAGGAGCTACACAATGGTAAGTAGCATTCTGATGTCATATGCCTTCTTGATTTATAAACTAAAATGCTTTATAAAGAGAAACTTTGCCTGCCAAGTGGCACACATTGCATGAGAAAGCCAGGGAAAATGCTTGGTTCCCTTTATTTACTCATTTTCTACTAACGAATTGGTTTACTTTTCTTCTGCAAGATTAAACATATGTGTGTTTTTTCAATGAGGTTACAAATGCATGGATTTAATTCCATTTTATGTGTTTAATCCATTGTAGCTAATATCTCCCCTTTGGCTGATGGGACCCTATTCAAGATGGCTTCTGAGTTTTGCCGTGACCTTGGTAGTAGTTGTTAGTCATTAAATTAGATCTCATTGTCAAATTTGGCTTTTGTTACCATTGCTTTTGTTGTTTTAGTCATAAAATCTTTGCCCATGCCTATGTCCTGAATGGTATTGCCTAGGTTTTCTTCTAGGATTTTTATGGTTTTAGGTCTTATGTTTAAGTCTTTAATCCATCTTGAGTTAATTTTTGTATAAGGTGTAAGGAAGGGGTCCAGTTTCAGTTATCTACATATGGCTAGTCAGTTTTCTCAACACTATTTATTAAGTAGGGAATCCTTTCCCCATTGCTTATTCTGTCAGGTTTGTCAAAGATCAGATGGTTGTAGATGTGTGGCATTATTTCTGAGGCCTCTGTTCTGTTCCATTGGTCTATATATCTGTTTTGGTACCAGTACCATGCTGTTTCAGTTACTATAGCCTTGTAATATAGTTTGAAGTCAGGTAGCATGATGCCTCCAGCTTTGTTCTTTTTGCTTAGGATTGTCTTGGCTATACAGGCTCTTTTTTTGGTTCCATATAAAATTTAAAGTAGTTTTTTTCTAATTCTGTGAAGAAAGTCAATGGTAGCTTGATGGGGATAGCATTGAATCTATAAATTCCTTTGGTCAGGTATGGCCATTTCCATGATATTAATTTTTCCTATCCATGAGTATGGGATGTTTCCATTTGTTTGTATCCGCTCTTATTTCCTTGAGCAGTGGTTTATAGTTCTCCTTGAAGAGGTCCTTCACATCCTTTGTAAGTTGGATTCCTAGGTATTTTATTCTCTTTGTAGCAATTGTGAATGGGAGTTCACTCTTGATCTGGCTGTCTATTATTGGTGTATAGGAATGCTTGTGATTTTTGCACATTGATTTTGTATCCTGAGACTACTGAAGTTACTTATGAGCTTAAGGAGATTTTGGGCTGATATGATGGCATTTTCTAGATATACAATCATGTCATCTGCAAACAGAGACAATCTGACTTCCTCTCTTCCTATTTGCATACTTTCACTTCTTTCTCTTGCCTGACTTCCCCAGCCAGAACTTCCAATACTATGTTGAATAAGAGTGTTGAGAGAGGGCATCCTTGTCTTGTGCTGGCTTTCAAAGGGAATGCTTCCAGCTTTTGTACATTCAGTATGATATTGGTTGTGGGTTTGTCATAAACAAGTTTTATTATTTTGAGATACGTTCCATCAATACCCAGTTTATTGAGAGTTTTTAGCATGAAGGGGTGTTGAGTTTTATCGAAGGCCTTTTCTGTATCTATTGAGATAATCATGTAGTTTTTGTCATTGGTTCTGTTTATGTAATGGATTACATTTATTGATTTGCATATGTTGAGCCACCCTTGCATCCCAGGGATGAAGCCAACTTGATCGTGGTGGATAAGCTTTTTGATGTGCTGCTGGATTTGGTTTGCCAGTATTTTATTGAGGATTTTTGCATCAATGTTCATCAGGGTTATTGGCCTGAAATTTTCTTTGTGTGTGTGTGTCTCTGCCAGGTTTTGGTATCAGGATGATGCTGGCCTCATAAAATGAGTTAGGGAGAAGTCCCTCATTTTCTATTGTTTTGAAAAGTTTCAGAAGGAATGATATCAGCTCCTCTTTGTACCTCTGGTAGAATTTGGCTGTGAATCCATCTGGTCCTGGGCTTTTTTGGGTTGGCAGGCTATTAATTACTGCCTCAACTTTAGAACTTGTTATTGGTCTATTCAGGGATTTTATTTCTTCCTCGTTTAGTCTTGGGAGGGTGTATGTGTCCAGAAATGTATCCATTTCTTCTAGATTTTCTAGTTTATTTGCATACAGATATTTATAGTATTCTCTGATGGTAGTTTGTATTTCTGTGGGATCAGTGGTGATATCCCCTTCATCATTTTTTATTTTGTCTATTTGATTTTTCTCTCCTTTCTTCCTTGTTAGTCTGGCTAGCAGTCTATCTATGTCGTTAATATTTTCAAAAAACCAGCTCCTGGATTCATTGATTTTTTTGAAGGGTTTTTTTTCTTGTCTCTATCTCCTTCAGTTCTGCTCTGATCTTAGTTATTTCTTGTCTTCTGCTAGCTTTTGAATTTCTTTGCTCTTGCTTCTCTAGTTCTTTTAGTTGTGATGTTAGGGTGTTGATTTTAGATCTTTCCCACTTTCTCCTGTGGGCATTTAGTGCTATACATTTCCCTCTAAACACTGCTTTAACTGTTTCCCAGAGATTCTGATACGTTGTATCTTTGTTCTCTTTGGTTTCAAATAACTTAATTATTTCTGCCTTAATTTTATTATTTACCCAGAAGTAATTCAGGAGCAGGTTGTTCAGTTTCCATGTAACTGTACAGTTTTGAGTGAATTTTTAAATCCTCAGTTCTAATTTGATTGCACTGTGGTCTGAGAGACTGTTATGATTTTTGTTCTTTTACATTTGCTGAGAAGTGTTTACTTCCAATTTGGGGTCAATTTTAGAATAAGTGTGATATGGTGCTGAGAAAAACGTATATTCTATTATTTGGGGTGGGGAGTTCTGTAGATGTCTATTAGGTTTGCTCGGTCCAGAGCTGAGTTCAAGTTCTGAATATCCTTGTTAATTTTCTGTCTCATTGATCTATTAGGTCTGCTTGGTCCAGAGCTGAGTTCAAGTCCCGAATATCCTTGTTAATTTTCTGTCTCGTTGATCTGTCTAATATTGACAGTGGGATGGTAAAGTCTCCCACTATTATTGTGTGGGATTATAAGTCTCTTTTCAGGTCTCTAAGAACTTGCTTTATGAATCTGGGTGCTCCTGTATTGGGTGCACACATATTTAAGATAGTTAGCTCTTCTTGTTGCATTGATCCCTTTACCATTATGTAATGCCCTTCTTTGTCGTTTTCAATTTTTGTTGGTATAAAGTCTGTTTTATCAGAGACTAGGATTGCAACCCCTGCTATTTTTTGCTTTCCATTTGGTTGATAAATATTCCTCCATCCCTTTATTTTGAGCCTATGTGTGTCTTCGCACTTGAGATGGGTCTCCTGAATACAGCACACCAATTGGTCTTGACTATCAAATTTGCCAGTCTGTGTCTTTTAATTGGGGCATTTAGCTCATTTACATTTAAGGTTAATATTGTTATGTTTGAATTTGATCCTGTCATTATGATGCTAGAGGGTTATTTTGCCCATTAGTTAATGCAGTTTCTTCATAGTGTCGACGATCTTTACAATTTAGTATGTTTTTGCAGTGGCTGGTACTGGTTTTTCCTTTCCACATTTAGTACTTCCTTCAGGAGCTCTTGTAAGGTAGGCCTGGTGGTGACAAAATCCCTCAGCATTTTCTTGTCTGTAAAGGATTTTATTCCTCCTTTGCTTATGAAGCTTAGATTGGCTGGATATGAAATTCTGGGTTGAAAATTCTTTCCTTTAAGAATGTTGAATATTGGCCCCCACTCTCTTCTAGCTTGTGGGGTTTCTGCAGAGAGATACACTGTTAGTCTGATGGGCTTCCCTTTGTGGGTAACCTGACCTTTCTCTCTGACTTCCCTTACCATTTTTTTCCTTCATTTCAACCTTGGTGACTCTGACAATTACGTGTCTTGGGGTTGATGGAGTATCTTTGTGGTGTTCTCTGTATTTCCTGAATTTGAATGTTGGCCTATCTTGCTGGGTTGGGGAAGTTCTTCTGGATAATATCCTGAAAAGTGTTTTCCAACTTGGTTCCATTCTCCCCATCACTTTCAGATACACCAATCAAACACAGATTTGGTCTTTTCACATATTCCCATTTTTTTTAGGCTTTGTTCATTCCTTTTCATTCTTTTTTCCCTAACCTTGTCTTCATGATTTATTTCATTAGGTTGATCTTCAATCTCTGATATCCTTTCTTCTGCTTTATTGATTTGGCTATTTATACTTGTGTATACTTCACGAAGTTCTCATGCTGTGTTTTCCAGCACCATGAGATCATTTATGTTCTTCTCGAAACTGGTTATTCTAGTGAGCAATTCCTTTAACCTGTTTTCTAGCTTCCTTGCATTGGGTTAGAACATGCTCCTTTAGCTCAGAGGACTTTGTTATTACCCACCTTCTGAAGCCTACTTCTGTCAATTTGTCAAACTCATTCTCCATCCAGTTTTGTTCCCTTGCTGGCAAAGAGTTGTGATCCTTTGGAGGAGAAGAGGCATTCTGGTTTTTTGAATTTTCAGTGTTTTTGTGCTGGTTTTTCCTCATCTTCATGTATTTATCTATCTTTGGTCTTTGATGTTGGTGACCTTTGGATGGGGTTTTTGTATGGACGTCCTTTTTGTTGATGTTGATGCTATTCCTTTCCGTTTGTTAGTTTTCCTTCTAACAGGTCCCTCTGCTGCAGGTCTGCTGGAGTTTGCTGGTGGTCTACTCCAGACCCTGTTTGCCTGGGTATCACTGGTGGGAGCTGCAGAACAGCAAAGATTGCAGCCTGTTCCTTCTTCTGGAAGCTTTGTCCCAGAGGGGCACCCATCAGATGCCAGCTGGAACTCTCCTGTATGAGGTGTCTGTTGACCCCTGCTGGGAGGTATCTTCCAGTCAGGAGGCACCAGGGTCAGGGACCCACTTGAGGAGGCAGTCTGCCCATTAGCAGAGCTCAAGCTCTGTGCTGGGAGATCCGCTGCTCTCTTCAGAGCTGGCAGGCAGGAACATTTAAGTCTGCTGAAGCTGCATCCACAGCCATCCCTTCCCCCAGGTGCT